TTATGTATGGAAAGGCTGCCACTCATTCGGCATACATGCAGAAGAAGCACCGCATGTTGCAGCTGTGCCAAGCGCTCGTGGGCAAATGCCAGTGAATGGCGAGCATCCTCCCATGCTTTTTGTTACAATCTAATTGCAACATACGATCTCAAATGCTTAAGGAAACCAACTCAATCATCCCAAGGGTTTTTCAAGGAAGCTCCTCCACACCTTCAGGCTGGGGGAGCTTCCTTGAAAGCCTGAGCTTTTCGTTTCTGTCGCCTTAGCTACTTAAACGCACTAGCTACTTAAGCCACTAGTACCCAGCTACCCAGCCTTTCTAGCAGCCTACACCCCTCAAAAAGACTAGTAGAGCCGCAGAACTAGAATAGATTATATACTTCCGTTAATCGTTTCTAATGCTACAAATGCATGACGCGTGCTCTTGCCCCCATTAGATTCTTCGAGGGACGGTCATGTCACTGATCATGCAGGCAAAACCACATTCAATATCAAGGTTTTCCCCAAGGCTTAGCATATTTGCACATGACGTTCTTCAATATAGCGCTTCACGTTGATGAGGAAGTCTTGGTCTAAACAGCCCGTGCACTCCCGTCCTGCAACTCTTCAAAGAGTGCACGGCTTAAACGCATGCAAAGCTGCAAAAGCTCGGCAGAATGATTCTCACCTCCAAAGACATAAAAGTCCGAAGGCTAGCGGCTAGGATGAAGTTCATCAAATGAAGAAGCCACAATTGTAACTAACCGATGAAGTTCTCTTGCTTAGTATACCAGTACTGTCAAATTGAAGTTCCCCAAAACACCTTTAAAACCAAATCAATCACGCAAGGAGTTGTACAAGGAAGCTCCCTCCCGCTTTCCGGTGCGGGGAGCTTCCTTGAAGAAGCCTGAGCTCTTCCGCGAATTGTCATAGAAAATAAACACTGTCATAGAATTGCACTGCTCAATGTCACTGCATCGACCCCCTCATCTGGCCTTCTGTGAGGGCCCGCGACATTTCTTTGGTCCCCTTCACAAGGAACACCAATCACAGAATGTCATAGAACATGCCGGTCTTGTGGGGCGACATTTTCATTGCTTTGCTGATGCATGTTAATCACTCTTTCATCTTATAAAGGACATGGAGTTTCACTGCTAGGGTGCGAACTGCCCTCTCTGCATTCTTGTCAGTTCTGCACAACCTTCAAAACAGGTCCATGGTAAGTCTTCATAAATTTGAATTTGATGCAAGTCCACTTCAACTTGTTTTATAAGATTGATATAAATATATAGTCATAAATAGACTAAATTGTGGAAGGTTGGTCCCATCCGGGCCTTCGCCAAGCATCAACACAAAAGCGCTGCAACAAGCAATCCTGTCTAGCTTGGTCACAGTGTCGCAGGCGAAGTGCAGCTGCTGCCTGTCGTCGCAACTGTCCTCGCCTGGAAAACTGGAGCTTGTAGACAGTCCGGTGGTTCTACCAACTCTCAATCAACACCCTCGTTATTGTTTTGAAACATAGGTCCAGCAAGGACCAATAATGCTGCATTCTCAAACATGTTAAAAGGATCTGTTAAAGGTCCAATCTATATCTCGTTGAGATTGCTTCAGCACTGAGAAAAGGAGTGACACAGCCAAACTGATTGCAGATCGCATCTCTACTTCGCTGTCTCTCCAGAGTTTTGCTGTGACTGACCAACTGTGGTTTGTCCAACTGTAACTATTCACAATGCTTCTGAGCTCTTGGATGGCCTGCGGATAAGCGCGCAATCTCACTCACTAGGGGGAAACACCTACTGATTATAACACACGACGAGAGTGACTATGTAGACAAAACCGAATTGCTTACCGTCTCCAAGAAAAATATAGAAACATTGCACGTTACCCCGAGTGCAGGATGTAACAGGGCCAATATGTGTGGTTAACACCTGTTTCCAAGGTTTGTGCCTGGTAAGTATGCCTGCCGTAGGTTTTACTAGAAGGCTGGATGCTATTAGTAACTCTTGGCCTTGCTACTAGGAACAAGAGGCCGCTAGAACCAAAGGCATCGCCACTAATTGAGAACGAAGAGGGGGATGCGAAAAAAACAAAACAAAAGAAAAAGAAACAGGGGGCCAGCGCGTGACATCATGACGCTGGCCAATGAAGCTAGTGATGTCATGGGAAGCAGTCAGAGACATCTGACTGTGTACCTGCAAACGTTTAACTCGATTTTTCAAGTTTCACCCGCGTTCAAGCCTTCAATTGCTCCGACAACCAATTCCTAGCGTTTTGCAAGTCAAGGTCTACAATGCAGCTGGTATTGTAATCGCTAAAGTGGGACTTCATTCTGAACCTAGCTCTTGCGAGCAACCATCTAAGTGTGTATCGCCACAGGGTCCCACTGAGGGCTGTGGTGTGATCCCCGTCAAGGGGCGGCGCTGCATGTGCATAGACCAGATCCTGGGGGACCCACCCTGAATGCTCCGTTTGCACTCCTGGACTTCTGTTGATCCCCCTTGATCCGCGGCGCTGCATGATACCACTGATACTACGCCGCAGGGCTCACTGAGATTACCATCCAGTCAGGATTTGCGCATGCGTCTGAGTATTCACCTATACAGTTTCCACGGCTAGGCAACCACAGGCTGCTTTTCAGCTGCATGCGCTTGTCATGCTCTTGAGTTCTTTCTCTCTTTCTATTGCTTTTCGTTTCTTGAGGCCTTTCTTTAGGTTTCAGGTGCCTTTCAGACAAGGGTTGCGCCGGCCCAAATTGGCTTTACTTGAACGCCAATGATGGCAATGCCTTCGGGCCACCCTAACCCACCCTCTCCCTTTCCCCCCCACCTCCCTGCCCCTGGCCTCTGTTGCTATCCCACCCGCTATTTAGGGTAACAGAAGGAAATCGCACTCAGCACACTTGTGTGTTGGTGCCTTTCCTTCTGTTTCTCCCGTCCGCTGTCCTACTCCTAGCTACCCGGGCGGTTTAAGACAAAAGTCCCGCTCGCTAACTATTTTCATTTAACTAAGTGGGCCTCGTCACTATACCTATCTTTCTTTCTTGCCCTCTTCGTGCGCTTTTGTTTTGTTTTCTTTGTCTGTCTTTCTAAGGCTTTTTGGGTGACTAGTAATTTTCGGAGCGCCGATATCGGCGTTATGCGTACAAATCTGTTGCACAAAAAATCGTTTCACGCAAGGGGTACAGAGCGCCGATTGCGGCATAGTGTGTGTGTGTTAACACCTGTTTCCAAGGTTTGTGTCTGGTAAGTATGCCTGCCGTAGGTTTTACTAGAAGGCTGGATGCTACTAGTAGCTCCTGGCCTTGCTACTAGGAACAAGAGGCCGCTAGAACCAAAGGCATCGCCACTAATTGAGAACGAAGAGGCAGGGATGCGAAAAAGACAAAGCAAAAGAAAAAGAAGCAGGGGGCCAGCGCATGACATCACGACGCTGGCCAATGAAGCTAGTGATGTCATGGGACGCAGTCAGAGACATCTGACTGTGTACCTGCAAACTTTTAACTCGATTTTTCAAGTTTCACCCGTGTTCAAACCTTCGACTGCTCCGACCCAGCACTTCCTACCGTTTTGCAAGTCAAGGTCTACAATGCAGCTGGTATTGTAATCGCTAAAGTGGGACTTCATTCTGACCTAGCTCCTGCGAGCAACCATCTAAGTGTGCACCCGTTGGATCCAAAGGAGTCTATTGACTTCTTAATGTTTTTTTGCAGGGGGCTACAGGGAACGTCAGAGTTCTGCAGCCAACGAAGGTGGCTATGACATTCTGCGATATCGCTGGAGACGTCCAGTTACTTCCTTCTGGGCCCCGTTCGCTGCTAGAACCAATTGCTAGCCGTTGCACCGGTTCCATCATGTCTGCAAATGCGCTTGACGTGTTGACTTTTGAATTTTGATGGACTTGGAACTTTTCAGGAACTTCTTTTCCGGAGAAAGACTAAGATGGTTCTTTCAAGATCGTGAGGATGCCCTGCCTAGACCGTCTTGCATACTACCTGATTTGTTGAGGCATATTTTCACTTATATAGGCTTCCGTGTGGCATGTGGCATTCAGACTGTAATTACGTACTTTTTCTCGAGTGTGTGTGTGTGTTGTGCAAAATCCACTTAGTGCATCTACATGTACATAGCGGTGTAGCGATGCTCTCGGCACCAAAACCAACGACATACAACGCTGCGTCCGAAACCCTGGTCCTGGCGACCCCGTCGAGCCTGAGTTGACTTACCCACCCCTGCCAAGCTCGACGGCAGGCAGTACTTCTTCGCGGGACCAAGCTGTTCAAGTTTCTCTCAAGCTGAAGCCCAACACCTTGGCGATCCAATTTCAGACTCTCTCAGTTGAACCGATTTGCTGAGCGATCTGCCTTCTAAGCGTAAGCATAAACGCTTGGAGCTCAGCTGAAGGAGGCGCGCAACGCCTTGCAAGGGTTTTTCTTTGCATATCTTGAGAAACAACAGGATGTTATGTTATGCGCAAATATAAACTAGACTTGGTGAATTTGGCGTTAACGTTTGTTGTCACAAATCTATGCCGCCATGCTTCATGACTGCATATACATCTTACTTGGGGCGTTAAAACGAGGGTGATGCGGCAGTGATGCGCTCAAGCATCGCTGACTTTTTGCTTTCGCTTCTGAGCTTTTCTGGTCCTCGGGACGAGCGGAAGTCTTGGCTGCTTCAAATCAAAAACACCAGAATTCTGCAAACGGATGCAAGCGGTACAACATGATGCAACATGTAACTACTACTACAAACAAAGGCATTGCTACTAGTAACAAGGGCATTACTAAGTAGCTAGAAGCTACTAGTAACAATGGTCTTAACAAAACCGGCAGCAGGCTGCAGAGGAGCTCAGTGCGAAGAGCTCATCACTTGGTCCAGGGCATCCACAAGGTTATCTGCCCCAGCCTAGGTGCAACGAAGTCATCTTAGAATGCTCCACTGTGTGAGCAAAGAGCAGTCTGACAACAGCTGGATTTGAATTGAAGGACTGAATCCTTCACCAAGTTGCTTCTGACGCTCCTTTTGTCCAACATTGAGGTCCGGAATGTGTGCCAAAAAGCGCAACAAGATGTTCCCCAAGAAAAAAGTGTGGAAGCCATTCGGAATTAACAGTATGAACTTCAATCTCGAAGCCATTCACATATAAAATACTGCATCTGCTTCAGCTAACCCTCGAGCACAACTGCGGGGGTTCGATGGCCAAGAAGAAAGTTTGACTTCAAAGGCACATAGACCTGAACATTTCAAGACTTGAGGAGTAAACGGCCCATTTCAAGACTGAGGAAACAAGGAAATGCAGCACTCAGTTCTATTCAATGTTGCTACGATGTTCTAGGCGTATAGAATTCAGCAAACTCTGGCCAGCTCTAGGGATGAAGGCCAACATGCCCAGCCGTGAATGTAACCCTACAGCAATGGACAGGTTGAAAGGGTGCAAAAGGAATGGAAAGGGAAAGGATAATAAGAAAATACAAGGTAAGGCCCCCTTTAAGATCCTTAAGAAGGTTCAGGTAAAGGTTAGTCACGTGTGTGCACAAATCTCCAAGCATGACACCTCTGTGGCACACCATCTCCAGGTTGATGGCAAGCTCACTGAACACACACACACAACCCTCGCTAAGGTCTCTGTGTCATGTGCATATCAAGCTCTACCATCGAAGGTGAATTGCCAAATCAAGCCTATGTATGTCATTCATGCAAAGTCATGCCCGTCCTAGGATGTATATGCCCTACTTGTTGCTGCGGGTTTCACACACCAACGTCCTAAAACATGCATGCTGCATATATGGGTGTGTATTTGTTCACCGTAGTCGGGCCGGGAAGTTTGAATAGGTGGTATGATTCGAGGGTATGACTCGGGGTAGACGCATCCATCTGACCAAGAAAAGGCAGCTTTTGGATCGGGATAGATGGCAATTTCTGCATGGCATTCTTAAAGTTTTGTTTGATTATAACTGATCTTGTTCAAGCGCAATTGTTTCAGAAGTAATTACCATGATTGAAGTGGTTTGTAAACCAAAGATACGTCAAGGACATATTATAGCGACTAACGCATACTTTGAGCCCACTCACTTTTCCCTTCTGGACCGGAAGGGAGGTCATACAGACTTAGAACCGGCACTCACTGTAGAACCAACGCTTAAAACCAGTTTACTGTAGATAGGTTCATAAAGGCGTCTGTCACTTCAAAACGCCTGAGTCTAAGTATCATGGTTCCAAATAGTTGCCTGTTTCTAGGTCCTAACCAGCTTCCCTGAGAAAACAAATGTCCTTATTTTCCAATTTTGGTTCTAAAATGTTCTAAGCATATGTTCGGGTTGTCACTGTGTAAACGACCACTTGGGTCCAGGTTTCCCACCCGCCGTCCACAAACAAGCCAAGCTAGAGCTAGGGCGTCGCAATATCATAACGCCCGTCGCATATCATTTGTTTTTCCAGGCTATGAAGGGGATAGGTGCTGTATATCATCTGTGAGTTCAAATCTGGTTGAATTTCATATAACTCAATGTTTCAAGCGTGTCTATCTTGGTTCCCAGCTCCAAGAATGCAAACGCCAGTGGTGACAATGAGGTTTGCCGCCAGGACTGCCAACGTGTACGGCAGTAGCGGCACATCCTGAAAGAAGGTGGCCCGAGAGTCTCACACGGACTGCTCTATATTTCATATGCAGTTGTAACGTAATTATCCGATGTTCATTCGTTCAGCTGCCAAAATTGGAGTACGTCTGGCGCAAAAGAATGCCTCGCGTGAAATGCGCTCTTGAGAGATAGCCGGCGCACGAAGACTGCCGTGAAAAGTGTGCGGAACGGTGGTTTCCCGTTCATGCATCCTGTTTTGAGACGTGCACAAGTGAGGAAGTCTTGCATGAAATTGTCCTTTTCCAGTTTTGAAATTTTAAGCAAACCTTGTATTGGTGATGTCACTGTGGCACGGCCTCGATGAAAAGTTTGTTTTGTGGCTCCTCGGCATTGAGGAATGGGAACCATGCATTGCTGGTGTCAACCACGCAAGGGGTCGAGCAGTCAGCTGTGATACACAGGATACTTGGTAAACCAATATGGGTTACACCGTCCAGAAAACAAACCTTTACGACAATCAAACAAATTGCAAAGGATTGTTGCTAATCAAAGGGTTGAGCCCCACATTGACTCAAAACCGCCACAACCCCCCTGTGGGGTGAGTGTCGGATCGGTCACCAGGATCGGTGACCAATGTGGTCGGATCGGTCGCCCCGGATCGGTGACCACAAAACACGGATCGGTGACCGGGCCTGACGGATCGGTCGCTCGGTCGCCAGGATCAATCACAAGAGAGGCCTAGGGAAGGAAAACAACGGAAAACAAACCAAAACCAACCAGACCGGATCGGTCGCCAGGATCGGTCACCAGAGAGGTGTAGGGAAGGCAAAGAAAAGATAC